AAATGATATTTCTTGAGGCACTTAATTTAATTAATTCCCTCTATTCCAATTTCTATATTCACAGAGCAGCTTTAGACCATTATTTGACTTTCCTGACTCGTAGGGAGTGGATGCACTGGCCTCTCAATTTTGAAGTGCTCTGGTTTCTGGGTCAGTTGTTTCTATCGTAAATAAATGAACGGGCAGGCATTATGGTGTTTAGACATCTGCCTTGAAGTTGTTTAATATGAGTGTGTCCAATGGAGAGACATCTGTTCTCAGGGTTTAATATCTGTAAGACCAGGAGCAGGCCCTAGCTTGTGGCAAACTTACTATCCTTTGCCATCCCTCATCCACTGCATCTATCCTTATCCCCCACCCCCGAAACAGACAGGAGAAAATAATAGAAATTCTAATGCTTCACTCAAAAGTCTAATAAAATTAAGCACAGCTAAGATGCATCACACATCAGCCCAGCCCTTTGACTGCTTTTTGATTAGAAGTAAAATTTATGAAGTTTGAGCAGATCGCCTAGTTCTGAAGTGCTATATATATACATGCACACAGAAAAAGAGATAGCATGAAGATACATTATTACTGATCACAAATGCTAAATTATATAAAGACTCCAGAGAAATTATCTCAGTTATTGCCTAAAGAGTGAATGCTTGTATTTGCATAAAGAAATAATAGAAGGATACACTAGAAACTAATAAATGTTGGGGGATAGAATAGGGGTTGGAACGGGAGTGATACTTTCTGCTGCAAACTTTTTATAGTTTTTGATGTTTGGACCCATTCAAGTAAGATACAATAAAAAGTAACATCTATGTGTATATGGAAGGAGCTCTGGTGGTGTAATGGTTAAGCACTTGGCTGCTAACCAAAAGGTTGGTGGTTCAAACCCATCAGCTGTTCCGCAGAAGAAAAGACCTGGTGATCGCTCCTGTAAAGATTACAGCCTAGGAAACGCTATGGGAGCAGTTCTACTCTGTCCTGTAGGGTCACTATGAGTCGGAATCTACTCGATGTTGTTGTTGTTGTTAGGTGATGTCAAGTCGGTTCCAACTCATGACAACCCCATGTACAACTGAATGAAACATAGCCTGGTCCTGTGCCATCCTCACAATCAGTGTTATACTTGAGCTCATTGTTGAAGCCACTGTGTCAATCCATCTACTCCAGGGTCTTCCTCTTTTTCACTGACCCTCTAACTTTACCAAGCATGATGTCCTTTTCCAGGTCCCTCCTGATAACATGTCCAGAGTATCTGAGACAAAGCCTTGCCATCCTTGGTTCTAAGGAAAATTCTGGTTGTACTTCTTCCAAGACAGATTTGCTCATTCTTTTGGCAGCCCATGGTATATTAAATATTCTTCGCCAACACCATAATTCAAAGGCATCAATTCTTCTTTGGTCTTCCTTATTCATTGTTCAGCTTTCACATGCATATGAGGCCATCGAAAACATCATGGTTTCCGTCAGACGTATCTTAGTCTTCAAAGTCACATCTCTGCTTTTTAACACTTTAAAGAGGTCTTTTGCAGCAGATTTTCCCAATACAATGCATCATTTGATTTCTTAACTGCTGCTTCCATGGGTGTTGATTGTGGATCTAAGTAAAATGAAATCCTTTACAACTTCAATATTTTCTCCGTTTATCATGATGTTGCTTATTGGCCCAGTTGTGAAGATTTTTGCTTTCTTTATGTTGAGGTGTAATCCATACTGAAGGCTGTGTCTTTGATCTTCATCAGTAAGTGCTTCAAGTCCTCTTCACTATCAGCAAACTAGGTTGTGTCATCTGCATATCACATGTTGTTAATGAGTCTTCCTCTAATCCTGATTCCACATTCTTCTTATAGTCCAGCTTCTCAGATTCACAGGGTCACTGAGTCAGAATCAACTTGATGGCACACAACATATCTACATGGAGCCTGTTCCTGTTAGAAGGTATTTTGATTTAAGACACATAAGACCTGCCGCATTTTGGTTTTTTTATATGCCCCTAAAACAAAATTGGAGCTGTGGTATCCAAGTGGTTAAGAGCTTGGCTGTTAACCAAAAGGTCGACAGTTCGAATCCACCAGCAGCTCCCTGGAAACCCTATGGGGAGCAGTTCTACTCTGTCCTTACAGGGTCCCTATGAGTCAGAAATGACTCGATGGCAATTGGTAAGGTAAACCAAAACCAAACTCGATGCCACTGAGCCTTGGTAGTACAGTAGTTAAGAGCTTGCCTGCTAACCAAAAGGATGGTAGTTTGAATCCACCAGCCACTCCTTGGAAACCCTATGGGGCAGTTCTACTCTGTCCTATTGGGTCACTATGAGTCGCTATGATATATGCTCCTAGCTGGGTGTCACGGACTGAATCATGTTCCCCCCAAATGTCTGTCAGCTTGGCCAGGCCATGATTCCCAGTATTGTGTGATATCCACAGTTTTGTCATCTGATGTGATTTTTCTATGTGTTGCAAATCCTACCTCTATGATGTTAATGAGGCAGGATTAGAGGCAGTTGTGTCAATGAGGTAGGACTCAGTCTACAAAAATAGGTTGTGTTTTAAGCCAATCTCTCTTGAGATATGAGAGAATCGAGCAGACAGACATGGGGACCTCAAACCACCAAGAAACAAGAGCCAGGAGAAAAGCAAGTCCTCTGGACCCAGGGTCCTTGCACTGAAAAGCTCCTTGACCAGGGAAGACTGATGACAAGGACCTTCCCCCAGTTGACAGAGAGAGCCTTCCTCTGGAGCTGGCACCCTAAATTTGGACTTCTAGCCTCCTAGACTGTGAGAGAATAAATTTCTCTTTGTTAAAGCCATCACTTGCGGTATTTCTGTTATAGCAGACACTGGGGATAAAACCAGATCCTTCAGAAGTCTGAGGGTAAACAGGGATTAGTAGTTAGAATACTGCTCTGCAGGAGCTATACTGGCACAGTCGATGTGGGACAGAAACTTCAGCTGTAATAAAAGTGCTTATAATTTGACAGAATGCCCTCTTAAATGAAGGCAATGAAGGCGTTCTAACCCCGGAAGGAGGAAATGGCGAAGGTCAGGACACACTGCTGAAGGCCATTTGGCTGCCAACAACCCAGCATATACTTTTGTTGATAAGCGTGATATCCATGAGAACTGCATGTTTATTGATGAGCTCACATGTCTGCCCAATTACCAGAGAGCTTTGCTCTCTGCTTTCCTGCAATGAGGGCAGGCCTGGGATTCTGTGCCAATTCTGCGGGAGAAATCGGGGAGAGGGGGAGGCCTAGTTAGTGTTCACATTTAGCATTTTTTACTTTAAATAAGCCTCATACATGAAATCCAGCATTTATTTACAAAACAAAGGGGATGATTTCTCGGCTTAAAAACAGCATTTGCTAGACGTTCCTTTCAAATAGGAAACTACCCTTAGACAACCTGAAATGATTCATTTGCCAAAAACAATTTTTTAATTGCACCCACTTTCCCAAAGCTATCTAATGCAGTAACCAAGGTTCCTGGCAGCAGTCGCCTCACAGGTGTCAGTAATAAGGGGGAGCGCCCTGGCCACCAGCAGCCAAAGCTCTCTGGACTCCCAAGCAGCATGAGGGACACGGCCACAGAACAAACAAGGTGAGAAACAGGCTGTTCTCAAGCCTCTCTGGAGCAATGTCTGGGCAAGGCTGCAACATCCATACATGAGGCTAAAGCCTCCGGTGTTGATTCTCTGAACTGTTTCGAGTCGAGGCTGAAAACTCATGATTACTTAAGTTATTGCTTTTTTTTTCTTTTTACTAACACCTAAAAATTGGGATATTTCACATAGAAAGCCACATTTCTGGCTTCGATTGAAAACTGGGGGATCTGTCCACCATGGGCCCACACTTCCTGGTTAAACAGTCATTGAATACTGAGTAGGAGCTGGCTCTGTACGCAGCGCACGCACTGTCGTTTGCCAGTCCCCACCACGCCACACTGCCCTTACCGTGCTGAGGCTGAGGGCTAATTATCATGTATCACTGCACTTAAACATTCACACTCTTCTTCTTATAGTAAATAGAGCTGTATCTGTCTCTTTCAAATGTCTAGGTCATATTTTTCCAGAATAAAAAAATGGAAGCCCGGGAAAGTGCTGATGTGTTTAATAGAATACCCAGACATACTTTAGAGACCTTACTGTGCACCAACAGGAAACAGTGAGGCTTCTTGAGGGAAAGCTGACTGGGGGTTAAGGAGCGGACCATGGGTCTCGCTGTGGTGGGGAAATAAACAGTTTGAGCAGGTGAATGAGCTGCAGAAGTGGCCATCACACCATCACAGTGCCTGAATGGCTAGGGAGAAGCACCTCTGTGGTCCACGGGTCAGGAGGGTAAGCCATGAGTCAGTAATTGACATGTGGATGGTCATTAATGAAACACGTTGATTGATTCTAATGTTAGGCCAGAAGCTCTGTCCGGGTACAAAAGCAAATTTTACTCTCCAAGAGAAGAAAGACAACTGGTCAACTCCAGTCAGCCACCTAACAGCCTATTTGAAAGCAGGATGCATTAAACAACTGGAAAACTCATTGTCATTGAGTCAGTTCCGACTCATAATGACCCTGTATGACAGAGTAGAACTGCCCCATAGAGTTTCCAAGGAGCGGCTGGTAGCTTGAAACTGTTGACCTTTTGGTTAGCAGCCGAACTCTTAACCACTGGGCCACTAGGGCTCCAACACAGCTGGAAAGCAGGAAGGAAATACAAAACCAGCGGACGTTCCATATGTTCTGTAGCTGGTCGAAGAAGAGGGTTCCTGTGGCTGCCAAAGAGGACAATGGAGAACGGGAAAACCCTAATGCAAAAAACAACAATCGTTTCAATGAGGACAGACCATTGCCTACGGTGAGAATGTAACACATTTCCTAAAAGACACAACGCGACAAGAAGAGTGCTCAGGGCCAGTGCCAGGACGCCACGTGAGGTTTCCGGGCCCTCCCTGGGCAGGAACAAAAAGAACCATACCTTTATACACACACACCTTAAATATATATAAGTACAGTAATATATTTTATTTCATTAAAATAGGTTAAAAAACAGACTGTGTAAGAGAATTAAGACTGTCAATAATTTATGATTATTTACATTAGCAAGCATTGGTTGTTAGTAGACACTTTGAGAAGAGAAGCCCACAGCACCCAGCCCCTCCTCTATGGGCAAGGAGGACTCGATTCCTTTCATTCTGATTATGAAACAGCTTCACTGAATGCCTGGTGAACAGCGCAGGGGTGGACATCAGACCACTCCTCCACACCGAAGGATGAGGAGATGCTAGGAGGCCAGAAGGAACTCCTTTTCTTGGAGCCACTCTTCAAAAGAGTGTCATTAACTCTCAGTCCAAGCTGACGTGGGCAGCCCCATCGCCAATGACCCCCCTGCCCGCCCCAGACTGTACTCCCACTAGTGATTGGCCTTCTGTAAACACGCCTTCAGGCTGACACAAAGGCCATTTTCCAGACAAAAGAGGAAAAACACTAAGAAAGCCACAAACCCCAGTTCCCAGGGAAATCCTAGATTACTTAATATTCCCTGGCTATGTCGTCCAGAGCTTGGCAAGGTGTCAAAATCTCCCTTGAAATGTTTTGTGCACTTGACATGTGAGTGAATGGTGGGGAGTGAGGGGGTGGCCAGGCTGACCCCTGCTCCTCAGGAAGGAGTGACAATGAAAGCAGAAAGTTGGCACAGCTGGTGGAGACCTGCCTACAAAGGGCATGCTCCTCTGGGTGCTGCTGTGGTGCTGCAGACAAGCACACCAATGGGTCCCTGGAGAGGAAGAACAGAATAGTGGTGCTGAGGAGAGAAAAGACCCCTCCAAAGCAGCCGGCAGCCCTCTGGGCACTGGCTGTGGTGTTGCAGACGAGCACGCCAGTGGGTCCCCAGAGAGGAAGAACAGACTGGTGGTGCTGAGGAGAGACAAGACCCTCCAAAGCAGCCAGCGGTGTGGGTGTCCTGTGACTACGACTCCTAGTGGTTGGAGTCTTTGCCATCAGCCATCGACAACTAGGAGTCCCGGGCGTCCTCTCACAGGATGCAGCCCTCCCATCTCCAGTCCCCGCTGGGCATGTGTCCAGGTGACGCCTGTCGGCTCTGAGGAGAAGAGTGACCACCTGGGATATCACAGGCATCGTCTCTGACCCGAGGCTGGGGGGCCACTTTTGACCCTTGACATCCAGCACAGAGGGACAGCAGCAGATGAGCAATAAAGGCCTGAGGTGGGGCAAAGGCACTAATGAGCGCTCAGTCCAGAATGTCTGTCTCGAAGGGGACCAGGTGGTAATAGGACAGGTTGGTGACATAGGCTGCCGGGTCATCACCATCCTCCAGCTCTGAGGTAAACTCACTGCCATTCTCAAACCTGAAATGAGAAAGGGTGGAGTGAGGGCAGGTTCACGGACCCCCGGTGAAGGGGAAAGAAAGGGCAGGAGTTCAGCTGTAGGACGACACTTAGGGACCCACTGCAATGTAGAGAGGCTTTTCACGACACCCTTTAGAATGCGCAGCTTTTGCTGGACCAACGGACAACAGTCTTTTCAATGCATGTTCAGAAAGTGTGGAAACAGCCATGGTCATAAAATTAATTAGTTGAAATAAATCCTCCTGTAAAGACTGTTACAGCATCTTGTTTTTCTGCTTTGGAAACTGCCGTCTATATTCATTCATTCAACCAATGTTACTGAGGCCTCAGTCCATTCACTCACTCATTGATGCTCATTGTTCTCTCTAGGGACTACTCTATGCCAAGCACTGTCCAGGGCTCTGGGGACACAGCCTGAACCCTGAGCCTCCTGTGTGCCAGGCCCTGCAGACAGTAACAAGGATGAATAGCCGCTATGGTCATGGTGCTCACAGCCTAACCGCACACTTGAGACCTGTGTCCCAGGAAGCAAGAGGGTCACAAAGGAGCTAGCCAGGGCAGTGGGCACTCGAAGGACAGCTGTCCAGTAGGCAAGCCTCCACTTGGGCTGGTGTTTGATTCAGACTCTGAAGGAAGAGCAGTGCTCGAATGTGGGGAGGGGAGAATGAGGGACAATGACAGAAGAGTATGTGCCCAAAATATAATGTGACATAAATACTCTTCTGGTATTGATTCCTCCATGAACTAAAACCATTTCCATTCCCTGTCCAACCCAGATGTGGCATCCTACACCAGAAAAGACCCCAAATTTTATAAAATCCATACCAGAAAATGACACCCATGAGGACATTCCCCCAGGAAGGGAGCTTAGAGGCACAGTTTGTACTTCTATTTTCCTCAACCTGAGACTCAGTCCCAACCAAACAGGGTGTGGAGAGGTGGCGGAGGCAGGCTGCGCCCTCAGCTGTCGGGAGTGGCCAGGGTCCTTTGAACCTGCCACCCACAACGCCCCTCTTCTTGTGTCTTTCCCCAGCACCTGAAGATGTCATGAACCAGCAGACGGCTGTAGATATTCCATACCACCCAGACAGCTCGGAGTGACCACATAAACCACATAACGGAATAAGGGGGGTGGCCCCTGACCTTGCATACCAAGTACCCTGTGCTAAATCTGGCTGATTTCAAACAGTGCTTCCTCTAGAGATGCAAGAGGAAATTAAAAGTAGAAAAGAAGGTGATTATAGCTTTAAAGTGTTTGAATACAGAGGGCTGTGGAGTGGATTCCATCGTGTCTGAGGTCCCCCCCACCCCCACCCCTGGGACCAGGCCTGGGGACCCAGGCTGTGGGAGGTGCGCTACTATGGACAGAAAACCACGAAGGATTACATTCTTGGGGACCAGGCCAACACTCCAACTGCTTTTTTCTTTTTAGGGTTTTATGCCCCAAACCAGTGTCAGGAAGAAATAAGAGAGGGACCCATGGATGCGTGGGGGAGGCACAGCCCTGCTCTGAGGCTCCAAATCACAGATGTCAGGATGGTGAAGAGGGAAGGGGAAGCTCGGTCGCTCTGGGAAATGAGGTAGGCTGAGGTCCCTGGTCCTTGTCAGCCTTCCCCTGGCCCGGTGTGTGTGACAGTGGGGTCAGGCAGCGTGTTCAGCCACTAGAACCCCGCTCAGAACCCAGCCAAATGATGTCCTCACCAGGGCACCTCTGCCAGGGCGCACTCCCATCTCCCGACTGCAGTAGGTCCTGTGCAGACCCCACCACACAAGGCCCTCATCAGCAGGCCCGATGCCGTGCAATTCACAGGCTCTGGGCCACCCAGCCACACTCCACGGCCACCAGGGACAGCTGCAGCCTGGGAGGTGCAGCCTCCTTACTCCAACGTCAACCCTCCTCACCCCCTCACCCGCCCAGCAGCATACAGAGTATGCTGAACAGATTGCTCCTAAGGGACAGCGTGGCCGCCAGACCAGCTCGCCATGCAGCCCTGGGAGAAGCACCTGGCAGAGACCAGAGACAGAGACTGTAGTCTGCAAGCCCAGGTTGGGAATGCTTCAGTGCTGCCAGCCACCTGGAGGCAGGTGCTCCTTTCTGACATGTTCCTGGGGTCACTGAGACTCCTTGCTCATCTCTTGCTACCAGCCAGCATCCTGGAGCAGCAAGTCATGTGCTGATGCAACATTCTCCACCAGGCAAAGCCCAGGGCCGGGAGGCATCCGCTCACTGCCTGTGCTCCTTCACAGCTAAACACCACTCACAACTGAACTTACTTCTTAAACTTGGCCTCGTCCCCAAAAGGCAAAAAGGGGCCCCAGGGAGAACTGTGGAGTCAGACAGGGTCTCTGGCAGCACCTGGTGATAGGGACCACCTTCGTCTGTCTACTGTACCAAGACAGAGGTGGTAACCGCTCCCCTGGAGCCCAAGGACCCTTCTCCACTCACTAACTAATCTCGTGCCTGCACAGGGAGTGAACTGATGACGCAGACAGACACATATAACCCCTGACCTCAAAATCCCAAATCAGAGGACACCGTGCTGATGGTACCACGGCCAGGTTTGCCAAGGGGCTCTGGCAGTCCAGGGGAAACCACCTCCTGCCCCTGCCAACAGCTCCCCTTCGCACCATTTCCTGACCTCTCTGTCGCCAGGACCCTGCATCGTCTCCCCAGGAGACGCCACTACATAGCTAATGGGAATGGTCTGTCCAGTGCAGCCCCATCCTGCAGGGCATTCCCGACAGGGCAGGCCCAGCATGGCCAGAGCCCAGCACGCAAGGCACAGGGTCAGGGTGGGGCTCAGCACGTCTGTCCTCATACCACTCACTCTGTGGTGTGGGCCTGGGGTCTGAGGGCACACGGCAGACTCCTGGCTGCTCCTGACCAGGCGGCTCCCACTCCGCATGTGTAATTGTCACCCCACCCTGGGAGGGGGCACACGACCCTCTCATAAAGTAAGTGCAGCGAGGGGAGGGAAGCAGCTGACTGAAGCTCACATCACCCAGAGTCCCAGCTCTGTCTGGGGCTTTGGGTGCGGCCTGGCTCCCTCCTCACCCACACGGCCCAGCCTTGACAGCATGGAAGCTAGGCTGTGAGCCCCCATCAGCCTGGGGACCCGACCACCCCCACAAGGCACTGAGCAGATGGCCTGAGAGGCACCACACAGGTGGCGGCTGTTCTCTGTGCCCCCAGTGCTGTCACCTTCTCGGAGTATGCATGCATTATGACCAAACCCCTGTGATTAGAGGTAGGAGCAGAGCAGACTTGGTGGCTTTGGCTGCCCCGATGCCCTCGTCAGGCCTATCCTCCCTCCCAGGGCAGGGCCGGCCCGGCCACACTCCTTTGCCCCTGTCAGCCATGTGGGGGCCACTATTCACGTGCCACTTCTCTCCAGCTAGCCCAGGCCTGGAGCTTAGGGGCCTGGCCTCCCATTGGCTGGCCCAGGACACAGTGCCGGACAGTGACAACATGCCCCCAGGCCCAGCATGAGCCAGACCATGCGACCTCATAACTTCTCCTGCAGGCCTCCTCAAAGCAAGGACTCCGCTTCCCGAGGTTTATGAACCAAGGCCTCACTGTACTCTAGGAGAGGTGGACACTTCAAATAAATATCCAGATGTGGGTAGGGACACTCGGAGCTACGGCCACATCTACTTCCTTCCTCCAGACCTGGAGCTCCGAGCTCCTGTGGGCAGCAAGCCCAGCTCCTGCCATAGCAGCACCGAGGGCCTCTTATGCAGGTGGGTATTCAAACCAGGTACTCACAGGTGCTCTGCTGAGTCCACATCCAGGTGCTGGTCCTTCCCATTTGGTATACTGTGGTCAATGACGATTGTCTCTGTATTTGCTAAACAAAAGCCGTTGGACCTCATGATTTCTGAAAATCAAAGCAGGAGGCATTAGAGTCTGAGACTGAACTTTGGGGCTTTCTCTAGAGTTATTGAGGGCATTTCCACCAATCTCTCCTGCTTCCCCTCCATCTACTGCCCTAGCCTGGCCCACACTTCGAGGGAATGTTCTGTACCCCGAGACCCACTGAGGAGCTCTGCCAGCCCGACATGGGGCTGCTTGCTGAGACATACCTCTCTTGGAAAGATGCTTTGGTTACCCAAAGGCCTGTCACAGTATCTGGTCCCCCCATAAAGGGTTTCCAATCAGGATGAAAGCATGGTGGGCTCAAGTCTGTGAGTCTGTTTCTGTACCCCAGGTCCTCACATACTAGCCATGTGACTTTGGACAGTTACCCAACCTTTCTGAGATCTGAGCTGTGTCTAAGATGGGGGTAAAAACATCCATCTCCCTGGGCTGCTGTGAGGATCAAATGAAATAAACGTGATTTGAAACCGAACGGGTAGCTTTCACTTTTTTGCTTTATGTAATTCTGTATATAAATTGATTTTCCAACAAGCATACATTTTGATAATTTAGAAAGCCAACAAAGAGAAACAACTTATAGTGCCTCTGCTGGCTGTCCAGTGTTAGCACGTGAGGGCAGATGGCTGGTAGTGGGGTCTCTGAAGAGCTGGGGGTGGAGGATGTGAGAGTACGGGCAGCCGGACCCACTGGGCGGCAGCTCAGACACTCCAGGCCCAGTCCAACAGTGAGCTCCATGGCCTTGGGACTCGGCTTCCTCAACTGAAATGTTCAAAACCATCCTAGGTAATATCTAAGGTTCCCCCAACTCTGAAATCCTAGATTTCATCATGTTATCTGGTCCACAGAAGTAGCGAGTGTGGCCTGACTTGCCTACAATGACAAGGAATGTTTCAGCATTCTTTCTATACCTGGTGCAGCCTTTATTGATATTTCCCAAGGGGCTGTGTCTGTACCATCAACAGGTGACACATACTCCACATGTAGACTTGGCAGCCATGAAGAGCTCTCCCCTTGGCATGAAGCTCCTAGCCCACCTCCAACTCAGTTCTCAGTCAGCTGAGTTCCACACTCACAGATACCTTCATCTGTCCTCTCAAATCAGGCATTCTACTTACCTCATCTTTAAAGACAAACTTAAAATATAATCCAAACTCCTGGTGGGTTCTCAAATCCAAGGGATTATCATCTTTCCCTTCAGGGCCCCATACACGGAAACAGCTGGAAATAGCCATTCTCTTGCCTGGCACAGCACAGAGCAGCGAGAACCTAGTTTAATGCCAGACTGGCAGCTGATGGCTTTGTTGTCTGGGGGACTGTTTTATCTTAGATTTTTCTTACAGTTTGCCATAATCTGGATTATTTTATTTCCATATGTGGGTTCCATTTTTACAAGTGTAAAGTTACTTCCTGCTTATGTTACATTTTTAATTTTTCTAGGTATCTGGCTCTCAACTCTTTGAACTTCTCTCCATATGAAGAGAGCTACGGACACAACACAAAAATGAAGACAGAAAAATAAAGGATTTCCCCTTTGCCCCCAGAGGATTAAAATGACTATTCGTCAATCAGATTTGCCAAGTAGTTGCTGAAATTTCCACTTGATGTTGGGAGAAGGGACAGCTCATGTTTCATGGGTCTTTTGCCACCCTGTCCTGAGTAGCCACACAGACACATGACATCAGCGCCCACTCACCCTGTCCTTTCGGTGCTCAGACCTACCCAGCCTTCCTGCTGCTAGGAACAGCAAGTATGATATTGCTGGTGAGGCTCTGTAAGTCTTGAGGAGGAGAACTGAAAACCAATTAAGAGTTGGCGCTTAGAACCTTCTGGGTCAACCACTGTCTGTATTGTTTTGTGAGCTCTATCCCAAATCTGTCTGCCTCAGGAAACACATATAGCCGCTGAGCAACCTCAGCACAGCCTACTGACACCCCTACCCTTTGCTCCCACCCTTTAACAAGGCAATCTGGGGGGGAACCCTACAAGTTAAAACATATGTTGCTGCTGCAAAACGTTTCTGAACAAAGTTCTGAGGAATTACCTTCAGTGAGAACTAGCTAAGCTTTCTTAAATGTGAATGTTGGAGCGCTGGATGATGGTATCTTTATCAGCCCCAAATGTAAGCCGTGTAACAAAGTATTCCTTATCTGCCTATGAGAACGAAGCTACAGTGCATGTGAGTGTGGTCGCAGCATCTGCAAGGGTGGCTGGGCCCTAAGGACCTACGTCAAGCAGTGAGTTCCACTAAAGATGACCCCTGGTACCCGCCTGCTCCCTCCGGGAGGCCAGCTCCGCTCTTGCAGTCAGCCTCGATGCCACATAGCCTTGAGGCAAGCCAGGTTTTGTAACTGGGGGTTGGCAACAACTTTCAGAATGTTCAGACCCCTCCTTAACTTGAGTTTGGAAATGGATCATCTATCGAAATTCAGATTGTCTTTTAATACATAACCAAGTACAGACCAATGATTATGTAAAATCTAGTGACATGTACATGGCTTTGATAAGCCTGTGCCAGCTGAAAATGGAACACACATTCTGAGACAGTTCATATTTTTATTTATTTGGTCACTGAAAAAAAAAAAGTCCTAAACAAAGCTGTACAAACTAGCAGTTGTCAAAAGTTTAAAAAGAGAAAAGCTTTCAGCTCTAGCAAGCCTCTAATTATATGTACCACCAGTTTTAAGAAAATAATCTTGCTAAACCATGCAGTCTGTGTCCCCTTTCATCCATGTACACACAGTATCACCACCATAACCACCAGCTGCCTTGGCGTGTATTCTGACTCATGGCAACCCTGTGTGTGTCAGAGTAGAACTGTGTGCTCCAGACGGTTTTCAGTGGCTGATTTTTTGGAAGTAGATCATCAGGCCTTTCTTCCAAGGCTCTGGGTAGACTCGAACGTCCAACTTTTCAGTTAGCAGCCAAACAGGTTAACTGTCTGTACCACACAGGGACTCCTTTTGAAAAGGACTGGTCAGTTGCTTTGCCAAATGCCCCTCAGGCTGGGTTTATCTGACGTTTTCTCATGACTGGAATAAGGTTACTCATTTTTGGCAAGAATATTGCAGAAAGGACTTTGTGTCCTCCTCAGCACATCGTATCTAAGCATCTGTTATAGCTAAATGCTTCTTTCTCTTTTTAAACTTTGGACAGCTGCTAATTTATACAGCTTTTGGGGATTTTTTTTTTTTTTTAAGGAATCAAATAAATAATGCACTAAGGATCATGTTGATACCATGTCAACATGTCTTACTACTAGGATGTTGGCCTTGATCACTTGGCTAGGCAGTTTCCGCAATGCATGGTTACTATCTTTCCCTATGTAGTTAATAAATATCTGGGGAGAGATACTCTAAGAACATGCAGACCTTTTTCTAGTCATACTTGCGTCCATTAATCTTAGCATCCACCAGTGGGTCTTTTCTGCTACAGCTGTTGCTGCAGCGTTTCCCTAATGAAGATTTTCTGTGTAGTAATGTAATGACGTTTCTATGCCCCATGCCATCATTTCTTCACTAGTTCACGTGCTCATGTTTTTCAGCAAACATTTACTCTCAGCCCTCAAAACACTCATAGGACAGCTCTCCTCCCTTTCCAATCCTCTCCCCCACTATATTGCCAGGGTACCCCAGGAACAGGACAAAACCCAAAGCACTGTCTTGTCACTGACTGGCTAACTGGGCTGTCCCTGTAGAGTACAAATTAAGGGTGAGACTGGACAGTTGCTTGATTAATGAAAAATAAAACGGTAATTCATTTCCAGGTCCCCCAAACCAGAATGATCAGATTTTGGGTCCAAGACTGATTAGACCAAGTAGCCAGATAAAGGCTGAGGTTTACACTTCCTTTACACCACAGACACAGGCTACAATGGAGGAAGCTTTAAACTTTTGTTTTCTTAGATTTGATGAGCATTTAGGTTAACATGGAGCAAAGCATGTTCAAGGTTGCATTAGTCCAAAGCATAAACCAGAGGCCACAGAATTCCCAATTGTCCTTCACATGGCTCCATGGTGTTGAAATGGTTCTCTTGGCACCAGTCCACCATCTGGCACCTAGCGCCATCTAGTGGAGACTCAGACTGTAACCCATGAAAGAGAAAAAAAGGCCTTCAGAGCCTTAATCCATCCTGAGTATAGAGCCCCCAACAGCCACCATGTCAGTGCCATGTCTTTTTCTAAATGTCACGTCAGGGCAAAAGAAGGCACCAAGGTACTTGAGGGGGGCTAGTGAGAGTTGCAGCAGTGGCCCCAGGAGCTCCCAGTAATGGATGGCATTCACCAGGACAGGATGGGCAGGCAGCCCACGGGGCCCAGCCAGAGCAAGGCCTGGGGAGGCCAAGGGTGTGGAGTGGAGGGCACTAAAGGCAACAAAGGCAAAAAGCTAGACTCTCATCCACCTAGAACAAGTCAGGGGATTTGGGCTTTATCCTGAGGGTAGGTTAGAAGTTTGCAGGTGTTAAGAAAATGACTGGGCATTTTTGGTAGTGTGTAGACTTTATTCTGGGGAGCAAAGACTAATAAAGACCTGTGGTATTCTCAGGTGATGCCCATGGGCTCCAGAGTCTGAGGCTCAGGCCCTGCGGACCCACAAATCCATACACACCAAATATGGTAGGAGAAATGAATGATACGACTTGCTCACACGTGAGCTGTTTCTTCAAAGGTATGTAGGTGCTATCGTAGGTACTAGTCTCATTATAAAGCATTCCCTGATTTACCATGGTTTGTTGTCTCCATGTTTTCCTTCGTTCGATGAATAACAAAGGTACAACTTAGATCACGGGGGACCCTTCTCCTGACACATACTATTTTATGTTAGGAAGCACCTGTTTAGACAGAGTGAGGGACTGGCTAACGTGGGAGCAAAGATGGAAGGGCTGGAATCTTCACAGGGAGGATCCCCAAGACTAGGAGGAGACACCCCGACGAGTCAGAAGACGCAAGCTCTGGAAGGGAGGTGAGAGGCCCCAGCCCGCCACCTCGCGACAAACCGTTTGTTAACCAATGTCAGAAACTCTGCTGTAGGACACGTTCTACGCTGAGCCCGAACTGACCTGCTGTAACGTCTACCCCAGCCAGGCAACGCCTGCTCCTCGGGCATCACAGAATGAGTCCTTTACACACACACACAGGCCCACACGTGGCTGAGGGTGACAGTCCCCTTTCCCCTGCGTCCTCTCTTCTCCCGGCCAGTCATCTCCATTCCCTTCCACCCTTCCTTAGCTGGCATAGTCTATGGACCCCTCCCCATCCTCTGATATACCCAGAACCAAGCATGCCCCCCTGGGTGGCTTGGGGCCTCCCGGATCTGCACACTTCTGGTCATGTGTGTAAGGTCACACAGAGGCTCACAGACACATGAGAGGTTTCCAGTAAAAGCTAAATTCTCTGTTCTCAGTCCATGCAACCTAAAACCTAATACAGCGCTCTACACTTTCCCCATTAGGTTTTTTCTCATTCCTTCCAGGTTTTAGGACAAACATAGGCCTTGTGTTCCTCCAAGGCGTTGATAAAAATATTACACGAGACAGAGGTCTGGGGGAAGTTCCAGGGTCACTTCCCTTTGATCAGTTATTCAACCAGAAGCAGCCCATCCAGTGATACTCTGCCCTCTGATACTCTCTGCCTCTGGGGTCGCTCCATTTCCTCCAACAACACAAGGCTCGAACAGGATCCTGTTGCCGCCTGCCCTTCTATTCTATCACTGTTAGCGCAAATAGACACCAAAGTTGGGGCCAGTCCCATTCAGGACTGAAGAACATAGGTTTTCCCTTGCTCCAAGTCAGAGTTCAAAGCCCTGAGTGATGGATGACTGGGATTCCAGAGTCCTTTCTAAGCCCTCCACAACTAGGGCCCATACACACCCAATCTGGATAAATGACTATGACATTTTCACTCTCCTATAAAAGAAGGCTCTGGATAGTGGGCACCTGCTCATCTTTCTAAGACCACCACCTCAGGTGGGTGTCTAATGGGCACACAGACAAAGCCAAGGTCCTAATAGCATCCTGCTCACACACACTTTTATCTAAAAGCATCTGGCCCATTCCAGATTCCCAATACGTGTCCACCATGCCTAGTTCACCAAGCACACAATTATCAACTTCATAACTCAGGACACTTGTGCCCCAACAGTATCCGTCATGCCTCCCAGTGTGCCCTCTATGTCTCTCCATCACCACGACCAGATTCTTTCTCAACAGGTAGCTCTGGGCTCAGTGTACTCTCATCTCTTGACTGTTCTTTGTCAGCTTGCTCTGAGTCCTTCTCCTCCACTCAGAGAGGAGATGAAGGACAGGAAAACCCCCTTTCCTCCTTCCTACAGATAAAGATATTATATAGGATATCACACTGAACCAAGCTATATCTCCTCTTCTAACTGCCCTCACTCACTCCCGACCTGGAAAACCCCTGCAAGATCCCACTCAAGTATCACCTCTTAGGCCAAAATAAAGCTGCGTGCCCTTGCTGAGGGACACAGATGGCAACCCAGTATTTGATACTCCCGGGACAGTGCTCTTCTTAGGGAATGCTACTTCAAGACCTTCATCAAAACAGTCCTGCAAAAATAAAAGTCTAATATTCTAATGATACATGTGACCCAGATCTTATAAAGGTACCAAACAGAGTGAAGTCCCCTTCCTTTTCATCTAGCCCGTGGGTCATATAGTCAGGCCCTTCTGTCAATGTTGATGCTCTTCCTGTTCCTGACCGAAGCTGCCGGACTTTGCCTCTTCAGCGCTAGAAGGTACAGGCCAGTGTCAGCCACAGCAATATCTAAACTGTACTTCCCTTTTTATCCTGGCTGCCCCCAAACCAAGAACCAAATTCAAAGCCAGATTATACTAACTACTTTATTTTTGCAGGCTATACATACTGACTGCAATTTGGATGCTTCAAAATGTCATCATTATACTATTTCTTAAGTAAGTTCCATTTTGTATGCCAAGTAAATCCCTTTGGAAGTAGGAAGAACATAAACCACAGGTTGGTAGGCACAAAACACTGTTCAATAAAAATCAGGTACTGCAGTCTCTCACCCACTACTTCCGTCATGTGTTGAATTGTTGGTCTGGATCCCAAGGGTAGGTGTGCCCAATCACGAGACAACAAACTAGAGAAGTTTCTGGGAAACTGTAGCCTCCAATGGCAGTACCTCCCCACACCATCACTGCAACTCTTACCTGATATTTTGACTGGACTTTGAAAGCTGGGCTGAATTTTGTGGACATTATCATTTTTTAACACTTGATCCAGAGGAGATCTTTCAAAGAAGGTGAGCACAACTTCTGACCTGGAGTACTAGAAAGAAATACAGTCATTACTAGAAATTAATACCTCCCATGAGTTGGATCAGTCCCTAGAGAAGGACATTATGCTTGGTAAAGTAGACGGTCAGTGAAAAAGAGGAAGACCCTCAACAAGATGGATTGACACAGTGGCTGTAACAACGGGCTCAAGCGTAACAATGATTGTGAGGATGGTACAGGACCGGGCAGTGTTTCGTTCTGTTGTACATAGGGTCGCTATTAATCGGAACTGACTCGATGGTGCTTAACAACAACACAAGCTGGCACCATCTGTGTGCATAAAGGAGGACGCTGCCAGGGAGGCGGAGCTTGAGGATCACCTGGCACAGAGGCGCCCGGCACTGAGCTGTTCTGCAGGGCTGACTGTGGCAAGGTTGCCATCACCACACACTTTGTTTATTGATGATCCTGCTGCCTCACGTGGCCAACGTGCAAGGCCTCGAGGTAGGATGTGGTAAACAGAAACAGCATCCACTATTTCCTGGGTGCTTTGCATTTGCCAGGCATTTTACACACATGGTCTCCCTTTGTCTTTACCATGAATGTGAGCTGGGTCTATTCTCCCCATTTATACATGAGGAAACGAAGCCCAAAGGAGTTAGGTAGGTCTGCCTGATGCTCAAGTTCAGGTTCTAGATCACGAGTTGATACAGGCTCACAAACTTCCTCTGAAAGGGAGCTGGTGGGCAAATCCACAGCAGCCTTGCCCACAGGGGTTGGTGCAAACACCATGGCTCTGTGAACCTTTCTAGAATCCCCTCAGCAAGGGGAGCCTGAGCAGAGCTAAGAAAGCAAAGACCACTGAGGCCAGAGAGGGCCCATGTCCCTTCTTACTCAATGCCTCCCTGGGCCTCTCATTTCCACCTTTTCCCTAGTGAAAAAAAAAAAAAAAAAGAGGCACTGGAACCCACAAAAGTCTTCCTATCCTCTGGTTGTGTCCCCTCCTTCTCCACTCCCTGGTAATTCCATGGAGGGAGCAAAGTGGAGACGTGAGAAGGAGTGGGCAGGTTGACTGTTTGGGAGGATGGATGCTTTCTAACTCTGCAAGATGGCAGGACACCTCCCACCTCCTGCCCCAGCTCCGATCATACTCACTTTACATGGCATGCTGATGATCGCCTTGAGAAGCTTCTCCACCTCATTAAGCCTGGTCTCAATATCATGGGCATCCTTTATGGCAACCAGCCCTAGATTGGGACAGGAAGGTCAAAGTCAGAAAAGCGAGCCAGCAAGTGTACTCACAAATTAAGTACAAAACAGCAGTCACCCCACAACAGGGTGCAGTTCCCTCGTGTCGACCTCCATAGCAAGGGGTAGAGGAACAGTTACTCGGAGCCCTATCTCAAAACTCCTGTTGTGAACCTCACGTTACGGTCCAACTACCCAATGCATGGTTTACATCTGTGCTAGGGTCAGTGCCATCGATCTGAAAAGGAGTCGCCTGTCAGGCTGGAAGCGGTGGAGTGAGGGGCAAGGAGGCAGGAAGACCCCTCTGAATGGGGCATTCAGCACCAGCCAGGGTGGTGGGGGCAGGGAGGGGCTGTCCTAGGATGTACCTGCTCCCACGAAGGGCCCTGTTAGCCATGACTGACCACCCACAAGGTCCATGCAGTGAAGCCACACTTAGCCCAGTCATTTAAGTACCGTGTTTGGAAGGAAAAGCGATCAGATCTTTGCCCAGAGAAAACCAAAGTGGTCATGAGTCATGGAGCTTCCCAGGAATACAAGCATCTTTCCTGCTGTGGTTCCCAAAAGTCCTGAGAGGCTGCAGATGTGGCAGCCATAATGCTTACATATAACCACACTGCTCTAAAACACACCCCAAAGGAAAGGAGGGGACCACCCCTTCCCCTTCCTCCCCAGACTGTCCTGTTCCCACCACCCTGTTCTGCATGGCAGGGGGTGGGGGGGGCAGGGAGGTGGCAGGGAGAAGAAGAAGAAAGGAAATACCCAAGTACCAGATTCTCAAGACGCCTCTTCCCCAAGCCCTGAAATCCTTGATTAGAATTTCAAACATTTACATCCTGCAATATATATAAATGCTGCACTTTGCATCAAAAATGGTTGGCTCCTCTGCTTGCTACAGGGAAGTCTACAGAGGAAAAGAGGACAAACTCAAAATTCTCTAGAATTTTTTTTTTTTTTTAAAGAGAAGACAACCATATAAATCATCCCTACAAAGAATCCAAGGGTAACACTTGGTGAGGTCAATACACTCTGCTCTGTGGCAATCTGTTAGGGTTGCCAGATATAGCAAATAAAAACACAGGATGCCTAGTTAAATCTGAATGACGTAAACAATGAATAATTTTTTAGTATAACTGTCTCATGCAGTATTTGGGACAGACCTATACTAAAAAACTACTTATTGTTTATTTGAAATTCAAATTTAACTAGGTGTTCATTATTTTACCTTTGTGACCCATTTCCAGAATAAAGTAAAGAACAGCAGAAGTACCTAGTCAGACCTCTGGCAACAGTATCAATATCTCAGCTTGGCCCACAAACCCTTCCCAATCTGACCCAGCCCACCTTGCCAGCTGTGTGTCCATGGAACTCCCCCACACCCTTCATGCCAACCACCCAGAACAGACCCATGTTCCCCAGACACAGCCCTTCAAATTCCTCACACGGTGCTGCCTCGAGAACAACTGTTCCCGCAGGCCTTCCCTCATCTCAAGGCCCCGGCCTTTAATGGGACAAACGCCATCTGCTCCGGGAAGCCCTCTCACACTTGAACTCTGTACTACATAGACTCCGAATAGGGCTCTACTGCTGCGCCCCGAAAAACCCTACCCCTACCTCCCACTCAGAGGCATTTGTAGACCCTGCTGACCTGCGGGTCTCTCCCAGTAACCTCTGAGACCCTGAGGGCGGGAGCAGGTTGGTTCATCTTTCTGTTCTCAGCAACTAGCAGGCGCTGGACACACGTAAGGGATTCTGTGTTTGCTGGCTGGCTGTGACTGAATAAAGTTGCATAAGAGAGAACCAAAATCAACACGGTTGCCTTCCTCGCAGTTCATGAGTCTCTGGGTGCCCCTCAGGTTCAGCCTGGGCAGAACCTTCCTGCCAGTGGGCCTCTGGGCCTAGGAGGCACTGGAGAGAGTGGCCCTAGGGTGGGGCAGTGCTAACACCACTGAGTGCCCCTCTCATCTCTGTTTTTGTGTTTTCTGAGTGGAAGCCAATGCTGTGGAGTCGACTCTGACTCATAGTGACCCCATGCAGAACTGCGCTCCACAGGGTTTTCAATGGCTGATTTTTCTGAAGTACACTGCCAGGCCTTTCTTCCAAGATGCCTCTGAGCAAATCTTTTTTTTTTGTCATTGTTATAAATATATCTATCATACAACTTATGTCAATTCAACTTTTTACAGGTATACAACTTATTGACAGCAATTAAAATAATCGGCTGTGCAACCCTAACCTTAATCAACGTGATTATTTCCACCACTGTTAACCCCTCCTTCCCCCCCTCGTATCCCTGGTAACCGCTAATAAAACTTCGGTGTCTATACATTTGCTTTTTCTTGTTTTTTTTTTTAATATAAGTGACAGCGTACAATACTTGTCCTTTTGTGAGTGACTTATTTCACTCAGCATAATGTCTTCCAGCTCCATCCATATTGTAGCATGTATCAAGAATTCATTTCTCCTACTGGCTGAGTAGTATTCCATTGTATGTATGTGTCGCATGTTGGTTATCCATTCATCTGTTGATGGGCATTTAGGTTGTTTCTACCTTTTAACTATTGTGAACAGTGCTGCAAAGAACACTGGTGTACAAGTCTTTCTTTGAGTCTCTGCTTTCAAGTCTTTTGGATATTAAAACTTTTGGTTTTTATATTCCAAATATAGTTCACTGCATGAGGTTCTTGTTTCACTTAGTTTAACTAGCTGAAAGCGTAGTGATAAAAACTGCAGGTGGGTAAAACAGTTGTGAATTTGCCCAGTTGCACGAACAGTAAACCAGATCAAAGATCTCTTAATTTAGAGTCTGTGATTCCGAAGACTGGCCAGCAGGGGGAGAGTGCACTCCGTGAAAGCCGCAGGACTTAGTTCAATGAGGATGTTGCTTTCGATGCCGTTGAGTTGATTTCAACTCATAGTGACCCCATGTGACTAAGAGAATTGAGTCCTTCTCCTGCAGAGCCACTGAGTGGGTGTGAACCACTTGTAACAATGATCCACCAACCATGTGAAGTTTTTCTATCAGGAAGCTGACTCCAGACACTTCACAGCCCCCAGAAATTTTTCTAATTTCTGATAAAGTATAATCACCAGTATGACCTCAACTTTTCGAATTTCACCGTACACAATTTGTGATGTTATAATTTTACCCAGATTTGGCCCAAACATTTAAGAATTTGAAACCAAAAAATTGGCAACACTATTATGTATAAATTTCAGCGAGCCAATTTTACATACATTTGTGGGTGAAAAATCAGCCTTGAGCAGACAAGATGCCCTTTCTTCCTCCTAAGCCAGCTCAGCCTTGAAAATTGAGAGCACAAAATGTGTCTGTTAGTTTCAGAATTAGCTTCTTTATGCAAACACAAACACCTGCTTTATTCTTAGAACCCAAACTGAAAACGTTATCAGTGTGAACAAATGGAAACAAACCCAGAGTCCTCATCTCTAAAGAGCAGGTCCAAAGTTCCACCCGCAGTAAGAGAGGCTCGGGCTGAACATTGCTGCTGACCGTCCCCAGCTTCCACCTCTGCGGACTTGGAGCTTCGAATCTAACTTGAGTACTTTTTGCTGTTACAACACTGGAAATAAAAGCAAGATGATCTTGGTTCAATCCTGAAAGAAGACTATTCTTTTCAAAGCACATTAAGGAACACTTATTACCCAGCCTTCTCGAAAGAAAGCTTTCTGACTCACACACAATAGGCAGCCTAGAGACATTCTCTGTAAAGTGAACTTTCAAATTGAGTCAAATAATAAATTATATTTAGTTTCTTTTCCATTTAACAAATGTGTCCATCAACATAATGTACACAATAACTAAAAAGCATGCTGCCTGGGTTATGCAAGGGTCAGCTTGCTTGCATAAGAGATATTCTTTAAATGTTGAGTGTAATAGAAATGCTGGAAAGAAAATATCTTAAATTTTCTAGGAAAATTTTCAGTGTTTACTTCTTAAGTGCCTGTTTGCTAAAGATGCTTCATATATGCTGAGTTTTCAGGAGGGAGTAAAGAATGATTAGCTTGAGAGCAGAACTGAGTTTGCTATTCTTTGTGTAAAGAGGCACCCCCGTGGAAGCTCTAACTACCTGGAAGCCTCCGCTACTCTCTGTGAGTCTTACCTGCTCTCGTGTGGGTGTCAAACGGTGTACCTGCACAGCAGGAGGAACTGTGCACAGCTCTGCCCCTCCCGCGCACCCTGCCAGAGATAGTCGTATCTAGTCATACAACGATGCTCACACCCCAACTATGAGAGTTGGGGATTGGTGATCAACATTAACTTTTCCTCCACATCTTTCCAAGAAAGCAGGACACTGGGTGTAGGAGGAAGGGACAGAAAGGGTGGTGATGAAATGACAGGAAGGAGGTGAGGGGAACTTCATTCCTTCATTCCTTCCTCTCCTGTGCCTTAAGTGACTAAAATATTTAACAGAGTGAAAAACAGCGTTTGGCTTAAACCAAGGAGCTCTGGTGGCGCAGAGCCACTTTGGGACCAGACCACCAGAGCCCACTCATGCTGAGATCACAGTGCCCTGCTCTTTTCCAGGCACTCTCATTACAAGAGTAAACTCAGTGGGTCCGCAGTCAGTCCACTAATCAAATGGCCTTCTCTCCTCCTGTTCTGGGGTAGCACAAGCTTCTCCTGTTTGTCCAGTTAAGAGTGAGTGTGGGCAGGTGCAGGCCTGGGGGACTGAGCGCACTTCCTGCCAGAGCCGTGGGTGTGGGAGTCTGGTGGTTACTTGTGTACAGCCCTTTCTGATAATATCCTGGATGCTTTCATTCTCCTCTACTCGGATCTCAAGCTAAAAACAGCCTACCAGTATGTGGGTAAGTCACATCCTCGTGGATAAAGGGGAACACACAGGTGGACATTGGCACCACACACAGGCTCCAAATTATGGACTCTAATGAACAAAATTCTAGAACACCACATTCACAGCTAGACTCCTAACCACTTCCTCCCCTAGTTCAACCCCTCCTGCAAGCTTCCCCATCTCAG